TATCCCCTCCCTAACTCCCCACCTACACTCACCTTTACTGGCTCCATCCCCACCTCTTTGACCTGTCTGTCTCCTCTCCACCTATCCATCTTCTATCTGCCTCCCCCTCTCTCCCTATTTATTTCAGAACCCCCTTACCCTCCCCCATTTCTGAAGAAGGGTCTAGGCCCGAAACGTCAGCTTTCCTGCTCCTCTGATGCTGCTTGGCCTGCTGTGTTCATCCAGCTCTACACCTTGTTATCTCAATGCAATCTATGCTTGTTTTGAACACAAGGTCAGTGCCCGACAGCCTTGGATGCACCTGTACTCACAGTCACCGTCGCAGGCATCAGTAGGGCCTTCTGGAGAGCGAACCCATGGAAAGCAACCACTGGATGGAGTCCCCAGCTGTGCATTCTAATCCTGCACTGACTCGCTGGCAGGAGTATTCATAGATGTCTTTTACATCTCCTTACTCCGATCTCAGGTTCCCACCTGCTTCAACAAGACCACCATCATCCCGGTCCCAAAGAACAATTAGGCAATGTGTCTTAATGTCTACCGTCTGTTGGCTCTGACATCCATCCATTATGAAGTGCATCAACTCCAACCTCCAAGATTGCCTTGATCCACTAAAATTCACCTACCGTCGCAATAGGTCCATGGCAGACACCATCTCCCTGGCCATACACTCATCCCTGCAACATCTGGATAACAAAGACACCTCCATCAGACTCCCATTTGTTAACTTCAGCTCTGCCTTCAATACCGAAATTCCAAACAAACTCATCTCCAGACTCCGAGACCTGGGACTTTGCTCCCCACTCTGCAACTGGATCTTTGACTTCCTGACCTTCAGACCACAATGAGCAGCGCTAAGCAACAACACCTCCCTCACAATAATCCTCAACACTGGTGCCCTGCAAGATTCCATACTCAGCCCCTTACTATACTCCTGATACACTCATAACTATGTGGTCAAATTCAGCTCTAACTCCATTTAAAATTTGCTGCTGATACCACCGTACTGGGCTGGATCCCAGACAACGACGAGACAGAGTACAGTGAAGAAATAAGACAGCTTAGTGGCATGGTGTAAAGACAACAATCTCTCCCTCAATTCAGTAAAATAAAGGAGCTGGTCATCTACTGCAGGAAGCAGAGTGGAGGACACTCTCCTGTCTGTATCAATGGTGCTGATTTGGAGATGGCCGACAGCTTCAAGTTCCTCGGAGTAAATGTCACCAACGATGTGTTCTGATCCATCTGTGTTGATGCCATAACAAAGCACACCAATGCTTCTACTTCGCCAGAAGGTGAAGGAAATTCAGCACATCCACAATGACACTTACTAAATTTTATAGATGCACCATAGAGAGCATTTTATCAGATACATCACAGTATGGTATGGCTACTGCATTGCGCAAAACTGCAAGAAATTTGAGAGCTGTGAACGCAGCCCAGTCCATCATGCAAACCAGTCTCCCTTCCAATGACTCCATCTATACTTCCCGCTGCCTCAGTTAAGCAGCCAACATAATCAAGGAGCCCTTGCACCCCAATCAGACTCTCTTCCATCAGGACGAAAATACAAATGTTTCAAAACAGATTCAAGAACAGTTTCTTCCCTGTTATCAGACTTATGAATGGACCTCATATTAGAAGTGATCCTTCTCTGCACCTTCTGTGTAGCTGGATGTATTTACATAAGGTATGATTTGTCTGAATAGCACGCAAAACAATACTTTTCACTGTATCCTGGTACATGTAACAATAATCAATCAAATCAAATCTGCACTGCAGACATTTAGTGTAAAATCAAGCATCAGCTAAGCAAGTTAGAGCAGTTGTGTGAAGCAGCAGAGGATGTATACCCAACATAGAGACTGGCCAAGAAATGCTAGTATGTTCAATGCAGATTGGAGAAGAGGGAAGGAATTTTAGAGCAATCCTGTGAAATGAGCCAGATCACAAGTAGATTTGATATTTTTGTTCTGCATTGTTTCAAGTTTGCATGTTAATGAGAAACTGCATTTCATTTCATTCCATTTTATCACTGTTGATCATGGCTTCAAAAGTCTATAGTGCCACTCTCCCAAACTCCTTTGATAAAATTACTCCACGTTCATATTCACCTTAAAGATTCTCTTTAAAATCCACCTCTTTGTCCAAACTTTGGCACACCCTTCCTGATGTCTTCTTTAGCTTTGTCAAATGGTTTGCATGTGTGTTCAAGGTGCTACATAAATGTAACTTTTTGTTGTTTATGATAATGTAATTGGTACAAAGGTTGAATACTACAGAAGACAAAGATTTAGGACAATCCGATTACAGAAAACGACAAAGTAATAATTCATGGAACAAAACATGATAGAAGCAGCGAGGACTCTGAAAATTGACAATTGTTGACCATGTACATTACAGATACAATATCTTGCAATGCAAATAGAAAACTAAAATGGACAAAATCTTTTGAACGCTTTGTGAAATTGAATTAGATTAATGACAATTTTTGTTATCATTAACGAGTTTGGAATGACCTAATTAAATCCAGGCTGACAATTCTTAATGCTCTTTTATTTTGTCATCTTATGATTAATGTCAACAAATTGGCTAGTAAATTCAAAGAATATGAGATGGCTTCACTTTAGCACAACGAAGAAGAAATGTTTTGATTTGCATTTGGTGATAATGATTAAGGAGTCCCTAGATAAGCCATGGTGCTGGCCAAAAGCAATGTCTCACATTCTCTAAATTCTCCTCACAGTAGAAGCCTCAGTGTGAAGTTTATGATGCATATCAAGTGACATGAACATTCTGCAATACTGTTCAGTTAGGATTTTTCACATCACATTTTTGTAGTACTTTCCAAATCATTTTAATTTTATATTTATCAGAACAACTTGCATTTCTAAGCCTTTTGCATTATAAATAACCTAAAATCTTCATAAAGGCAAAACTGAGCACAAGACAAAGGTGGGGTAAAGATTGAACGCAATCAGAGGTAAGCATTGTAGAACCTTTTCACTGGAATGCAGAGTGCTAGTTATGTAAAAGAAAGCAGAAAGAAAGAACATATCCCAAAGTGCCTCAGAACCAATTATATACTTTTGAACTATAATCATTGATGTTACATAGCCAAACATGGCTGTCAATGTGTGCTCTGCGGGCTCTCAAACAAGATTGATGACTCTCTTGTTGGAATGTGGTCAATGCATAAATGTTGGCCAGTATACTTGGAGGACCACTGAAGATTGAGCTTTGGCCTCATGTCATTCGAAAGTCAAAATCTGTGACAATGAAGAATCAATATACATTATACACTGAATCTCTTAAGGGAGCTTGAACCATTTGAACTAATGCGTTTTACATTCATAGGAAGAGTCATCAATGAGCCAAGTTCACACATTTTTTTCAGAATGTTAGGCTAAAAATAAAGAGGAGAGTGCAAAGGAGAACAGGACCCAAAAAGCAAAAAAGTATAAGTTGCCAAATGTGATTGAAGAAGGTCGCAGATAGGAGGGTAGTGGAGACATTTGGCATTTCTACAAGTCTCCGAGGTTTATAAACTAAATGCGCTGGATGACAGGAAGCCACTGGAGAGCTGGTGAACATCAAATGACAACAGTGGATGGAATTGAATGGTATACTGCCAGACTACGTTGCTAATGTGGAAATCGACACTCTTGGGCATAGGTTTTGATGTTTGAAGCTGAATTGAGGATCACAACATACGAAGCACTGAAGTTACACATTGATCAAGTAAGCTGGATAAGATCTAGCATACATTTTAGATGCAGAATAATATAACCGCTTTAGTTTAATTAGATCTAATTTCTTTTTACTTGCAACGATAAACTGATATTCGGCATTGGGAAATGCGAACAGTTATAAGTTGAGGAAAATCAATATGGATTCACACCCCAAATTCAAAGTTCAAGTGACAGCATCAGGAAAATCATGATGATCATGAATTTCAATAGGGGTGAGTTATTACAATCACCTTCCAAATGTTTGTAGCCAGTGTAATTGTAGACAAGTACCATAAAAATTGAAATGGCATAACTTAAATAACTGTTATTTGCCATTAAAAGTCTCTAAAACTTAACTACAACATTATAAAGACTTGAGTCCCCAGAAAAATCTGTGGCATAATTTGGAAAATATATTCTTATCCCTGGGCCCCAATGGCAAGCAAACAGAATTTACATATAAAGTACAGTTCCTGGATCCTAGTCTGCCTGTTTGTCAATTCTGTCCTGGTAATAATCAACAATCACAAGGTTCCATGTTGAAGCTCAAGGCTGCCATTTCAGGGCAGAACGAGAGAGAATGCTATACAGTCCCAGGCATTGTCCTTTGGTTAAGACATTAAACTGAAACCCCGTTTACCTACTAGTCAGGTGAATGCAAAAGATCCAATGGCACTATTTTCAAGAGCAGAGGCGTTGCTCCTAGTGTGCTGGCTGATCTTATCCCGAATTAAAATCACAAACAAATTATTTTGTTCGTCCCTTGTAATTTCTGGTTACCACAATTTTCTACATTAAAACACTAACTACACTTCAAAAACACTTCATTGGTTAAGTACTTCATGGCACTGAGTGCTTATGAAAAATACTATAGAAATTAACATCACTTTTTTTGCCTATTTTGAAACAGTTGAAGGGACAATGATACTTGAAAACTTCATAATAATAGTATTCCAAAACACATGAAATGTAAAATACAAACAAAGTGCTGGAAATGCTCAAAAGATCTTAGGCCATGGAAAAAAAACTGAGTTAACATCCCATGGCTTTCACCTGTCATTGGAGCTGAAAGGCATTTGTGACGTAACAAGTTTTAAAGACAGAAGCAGGAAAAAAAAAGTTGGGCTACAGAACAAAAGACAGGGCCTGTGACAGGGTTGAAGACCAGAGAGATCAAATGACAAATTGGATGGTAATGAAACAAGTAAAGAAACTAAAGAGAGGTTGAATGAAATGTAATTGGCACAGCAGAATCATCACTAACAGCTATGGTTCGAAAAATATGGGAGTAGACGTCTGAAGTAGAGATTTTAAAAATCTGTTTATGGAACATATGGAAACAGATGAAGAAGAGTTGTTGCTACATGAAATACAGTTTAAAAACTTCTAATATAATTCACTACAACTGCAATTTAACTGAAGCTGGGTTTAAGATAAAAGTACAATCCATTGCCAAACTGAAGTCCCCATTTTATTTTTAGAATGTGCACTTAATGTTCTAAAAATACAAAATTGTGCTATTATTCAACTGTCTCCCTAAGAAACTAATAGCTACCTGTCATTTACAACCACTTGAGTTATCACAGCAAATTTCTACCTTGAAGTCTGACCTCCAGGTCATAATATTCCATATTACTTGCAAAGCATGTCAAGATTATGCTGTGTGGCGTTTATTTATTAACTGGTTAGCAAGTACATTTCCACTTGCAAAAATACAAAGTGACATATCGTGTTATTCGTAACGTTTTTATTACAAGTTCTGCATGATTAGCTGTACAAGACACCGTTAAGGCCACATCTGGAGTACTGCATACAGTTTTGGTCACCCTGCTATAGGAAGGATGTTATTAAACCGGAAAGGGCGCAAAAAATATTTACAAGGGTATTACTGGAAGTTTTGAGTTATAAGTAGAGACTGGATAGGCTAAGACTTTTTCTTCCCTAGAGCATAGCAAGCTGAGGGGTGACCGTATAGAGGTTTGTACAATTCTGAGGGACAAAATAAGGTGAAAAGCCAATGTCTTTTGCCAAGGGCAGGGAGTCCAAAACTAGTGGGCATAGGTTTAAGGTGAGAAGGAAAAGATTTAAAATATTTAGATGTGGTGGCACAGTCATTAGCACAACTGCCTCACAGTGCCAGGGACCCGAGTTCAATTCCAGACTTAGCTGACTGTCTGTGTGGAGTTTGCACATTCTCCCTGTGCTTGTGTGGATTTCCTTCAGGTGCTCCAGTTTCCTCCCACAGTCCAAACGTGTGCAGGTTAGGTAGACTGGGCATGCTAAATTGCCCAATAGCGTCCAGTGATGTGCAGGCTACATGGGTTAACTATGGTAAATGCAGGGATAGGATGGGAGCCTGGGTCCGAGTGAGACACTCTTTGGTGCATCGGTACAGAGTTGATGGGCTGAATGGCCTCTTTCTGCACTGTAGAGATTCTATGGATTAGAGGGATGTGTCCAAATGCAGGTAAATGGGACTAGTTCAGTTCAGGTTAGCATGGACAAGTTGGGCTGAAGGGCCTCTCCATGCTGTATGACTCTATGATCAACATATGAAAAGATTAAGTTAGATTATCTGCTTCATTCAGCTCAAACCTTCTTATTCAGTGGGCCAAAGGACCCTTTTTCAGTGTTGTAAATCTTTAAGAATCACGAATATCAGTTTTTTTTTTGTCAAGTGCATACTCTCCAAGAGAGAAGTTAATGAAGAAATTTAAGTATTGAATAATTACGTATATACAGGCTTTCAGAAAATTCTATATTTTTGGAACGATTTAATTTGATTTGATTTATTGTAGCCACATGTACTCAAGTAGTGAAAAGCTTTGTTTTGCAAAGGCAGATCATAGCAAACAAAGACATATAGATCATAGGGTGCTTAGACAGAGCGAGGCATACAGGTTACAACTGCACAGGAGGCATGCAAAGCAAAAGCAACATAGAAAAATAGTAAGAGAAGAGTAAAATTTACCTTGAATATTTCTGGGTAATCCAGTCGGGACACTAGCACTAAACTTTTAGGTGCAAACACCTGTGCAGGTTGAATTAACCCTGTATCCTCCTCTTCACCTTCTGTATCATGTTTAGCTCCCTTAAAAGAAGAAATTGAAATAAATGAGACAATACACAAGCAATCCTAAAAAGCATAATGTGGAACTTGCATTCTCTCCATTCCAAAAGTATAAACTCAAAACTTAAAACTAATAAACAACAAGCTTTCTTCATGTGCTGGAGAAGGTCGGAGGTAGTCTGACAATATATGTAACAATAAAGAGTATGTTAATGTTTTGAATCAAATAGGGTTTTTCTTCAGAACTGAAGAGTGTTGGAAAGATTATACGCTGTTGAAAAATGGGGGAGGGTCAACAAAAGGGAATGTTAAGGAAAGATTAGAGATTGAGGAAGCTGGGGAAGTAGGGAGAAGGAAAGGACAAGGTTGAAGCAATTGCAACTACCTTTGGGCAGAAATGCAGAGTGGATGATCCATCCCTACCTCTAAATGAAGTCACCAGCATCACATGTTCCAATCTTCTGACAACTTGATTCACTTCACGTGATATCAAGAAATGGCTGAAGGTAACAGATACTGCAAGGCTTATGGACCCTGACAACTCCATATATACAGAAAACTTTGATTTATCTGGTACCTTATGAACCAACAGCATCAATAAACCAGCAAAAATTATACACAGTAAACTTTGTTTTAACCAGCACCTTAATGAGCCAGCACACTAGATAAACTGGGAAAAATTAAATCCCCGAAGTACTGAAAGTTTACTGTATTAACATAATCTCAGTGACATCTAAGTGATCAGTTAAGGATGCAAGTGAGAAGGCTCTCTGCCAGTAAATTTTATTTGAGGCAAAGTTGCATTATTATTTGAGTGACTTATGCTGTAAATAAAGTATAACAATGATGTGTATATCCCCGTCTTACATGTCTGTTACTTAGTGTGTGATTTTACATTGACTAAGTGGACCCTTGATCAACCGGAATATTTGAGCAACCAGCACATTCCTGGTCCCATAGGGTGCCAGTTGATAAGACCTGCTCCAAAACTAGCTGCACCCCTCACCGGGCTACTTAATTACACATACAACACTGGCAACTTGCCAGAAATCAGATCAATTTTAAGTCTGAATATTGTCCAACCATTTAGCTTATAAAGGCTGATCATTTCACCTGAAAATCTCCCTTGGTGATTACTGTACTGAAATGTTAGTCATTGTGGGAGTTTGATCAAAGGGAAGAACAGCTGAAGAAGTCACTGCTTTTTTCCTTTGTAAATGTTCAACTGAACAAGGCAAACAGGTGTCAGCTTAACCTCTCATCTAAAAGATGGTGACACCAAAATTACATTTCTGACAAGACTGGAGGAGTGCATTGCATTTTTTAGTCCAACTATTTCAGCGACCACAACATAAATTTAAATGTTTAACTCAGTTACTAATATGATCAATTAACTAATTTGTCTATATTAGGTTGAGGATAAAAAGATTCAATCATTTATTTATTGTCAAAACAAGTCTTAATTGAAGAAGCTGCAGAACTGAATATCTGTTAGAAATACCAAAGTACAAATATGTACCCCAAAAAAAACACACTCACACAAACATTCACACAGGAAAAAGTGAAAAGTGGATTTCTTGATCTCTCTGCAGGGATTCACTTTGGGAGAAAATGTAAATTTGTCAACGATGGCTAGTTCTTGAACGCTAAATAAATAACATTGGGAAGCAGTGGCACAGTGTTAACATCACTATTAATCCAAAGGGCCTTGGTTAATGTTTTGGGGTCATGGTTTCAAATCTCACATTGGCAGATGATAATATTTGAATTCAATAAAAGGCATTATAGAATTTAATCCTGGGAAGTGTGAGCTGATGCACTTTGGAAGAAGTAACAAAGCAAGCGAGTACTCAAATTAACAGCAGGACATGAGGAAGCACGGAGGAACAGAAGAATCGAGATGCTTGTTCACAGTTCCCTGAAGGTGACAGGATGGGTTTATACTGCAATTAAGACAGCATAAGTAACACTTGCCTTTATCAGTCATGGGATAGATTATAAAATCAAGGAGATTTTGTTGGAGCTGTCAAATTTTGGCTAGGCTACAAGTGGAGTAATATGCACAGTTCTGGTTGCCACATTATAGGAAATATATGATTGCACTGAAGGGGGTGCAAAGGAGTTCTGATGAAGAAACACTGGATTAGAAACATCTAACAAAGTCTGCTTTCTATCCACACATGCTGAAAGATTGGCTGAGTTTCTCCAGCAATTTCTGTTTTTATTTCAGCATCTGCAGTTCTTTGTTTAATTTCACCAGGATTGGGTTGGAGCATTTTATCTATGAAGAGAGGTAGGATAAGCTCAGGTTGTTTTTTTTTGAAGCAGAGAAGGCTTGGGGAAGTGTACAAGATAATAAGGGGCATGAACAGGGTGAATATTGAGCAGTTGTTCTCCTTATTTGAATGGCCAATAACGAGGGACCATAATTTTAAGGTAAAGAGCAGGAAGTTGAGGGGATTTGAGGAAAAACGTTTCGATGCAGAGTAGAGGGAAATTGGAATACACTGCATAGGAGGCCAGTAGAGGTGGGAAACCTTAACCTTTAGGAAACAGTCTGTGGATGAGCACTTAAACTGTCATAACATCCAAGGCTATGGGTCAAGTGCTGGAACGTAGGGTTACTGTCAATAGGACAGTGCTGACTCAGTGCTGAAAGCCTCTACTGTGCTGCATGATTCTGTAACTCTAAAGCATGAATGATAACTGTTGATCTGGCATTCTGGCATGTGTCACCAAACATTGACTGTTGTCTTGCAGATCTTCACAAATGCAACTTCCTCAGATATCACAGGATCAAGAATACTTCCAGGCAATCTTCAAGAGAACAATCAGGTTTCACAGCAGCTTCATAACAAGGAAGCTTAGCTGGGAAGCCCCTTGCTTTCAACAGGCTTGTCACCTACAACTTCAAACAATATCCCAAACAGATAATGAAATCCGACAATTCTAAGCCCAGACTAGTGGTCTCCAGTAAATATGGAGTTATTACAAGCCAGGTGACAGCTAAGAAATGCCTTGTTGAAAGAGCATGTTCCAAAGTCCTTGCAATGATTAGAATTAAAAATGTATCCACAATGCTTCAATCTTGTACACAAACTGAATATGAAGTCTTCATTGCACATTCTTCAGTGCAACATTAAGATATTCAGACCAAGAGAAGGTGTTCAATCAGATGCATGAAGAAGTGATGTACTGATGTTGGCATTACATTGATTAAAATTTACAGGAAGAGTTTCAACAGTGGAGTTGATCAATGACTTCAACAGTAAGTTTAAAGACCTAACACAGCCTAATAAGGCAAAGGAATTTTATACATATATTTTATTAATCTCCGCTAAACCCTGCACCATGTGTGGAAGCAGCACTTGTCCTAATTACCCCCACCTGTCTTGTCATTTTCAAAAGAGTGAAAAATGTATGTGTGTGTTATTGATGGAAAAAAATGATGCTTTGTCAAAGCTTTTCTTCTTGCACTGAGCAAGGTAATTTAAAATCCACTAGTTCTGCCATATAAGAGAATGCTGTTTGGTTGGCAAGCTGTCTCCAATTGTTTGAGATGCTGCCATGCTGAATGCACTGTAGTTGATGGTTGACAGTTAAATAACAGGCTGTGTTACATTTTGAACCAGGAATGTTGGTCAAGGCATTGGTCCTGCAAATTGAGCCAGCAAGAGGCTGTCATTTATTTTGAAACAAACGCAGTGCATGTTCTGTGTACAAAGAACTACACAGTTAGCCAACTGACAATCCCAAATTGGATGTCAGCACAATTCATCGCCCAGCAAATGGTGTCTTGTCATAAAGTCACATCTAATGTTAAACATTGCATTGCAACTTTTGCAAATGGAGGCTCTCCTGGACATAGTAAGTATCTTCCTTGTTGCAAATAGCAAGAAAGTCTTTGGCAGTTTTTAGGATATACACCTCTGTTCCTAGCATTACATCTAGTACAAAAAGTGTCTTTTGTCAGAAGTGCTCATGTTGAAACAAAAACAAGAAGGCAGATTACTTACCTGTATGGTTGTAAATTGGGAGAGGGGAGTGTGCAGCGGGACCTGGGTGTCCTTGTGCACCAGTCACTGAAGGTAAGCATACAGGTGCAGCAGGTGGTAAAGGAGGCAAATGTTATGTTGGCCTTCATTGCAAGAGATTTCAAGTAAAGGAGCAGGGACATGTTGTTGTAGTTATACAGGGCCTTGGTGAGGCCACACCGAGAATAAGATATGCTGTTTGGTCTCCTTTTCTGAGGAAGGACACTCTTGATCTCGAGGGAGTGCAGCAAAGGTTTACCAGGCTGATTCTGGGGATGGTGGGACTGATATACAAGGAGATACTGACTAGCTTAGGAATGTTTTTGCTGCAGTTCAGATGAAAGAGGGGGGGATCTCAAAGAATGTCAAATTCTAACAGGACTGGACAGGGTAGGTGCAGGCAGGATGTTCCCGATGGTGGGTGTGTCCAGACCCAGGGGTCACAGTATGAGGATCTGGGGTAGACTATTTAGGACAAGAGATGAGGAGACATTTCTTCACCCAAAGAGTGGTGAGCCAGTGGAATTTATTACCACAGGAAGTAGTTGATGCCAAAACATTGAATGTACTCAAGAGGTGGCTAAATATACCACTTGGGGCGAATGGGATCAAAGGTTTTGGGAAGAAAGCAGAATTGGGCCACTGCATTGGACGATCAGCCATGATCGTGATGAATGGCGGAGCAGACTCGAAGGGCCAAATGACGACCTCCTGCTCCTATCTTCGAGGTTTCTATGAATACTGCCAAACAACTATTTGTATTTTGATCTTAGAAATTTATCTTTTGAATTTTTGATGTTCATGCTTTCCTCATGATGCAAGTGCAACATCAATGAATATGTCTTGCTCATACATCGTCAAATGACAGGAGTAACTGATGGTATGTTGGGAGATGTAGGGATACTTCAAGTATACCTCCCATCAATTATTTGTGAACTTCAAAGCCATTAAAATCAGAAACCCGGAGACTTAATTGAGACTTTACTG